GGGGGGGGAGTAAGAGGAGAATTGGGCCCAGTGTCTTTCCAGCACGTTGAATCTTAGGCTCGGAGACAGCCAAAAATAATATCTAAGAAGAAAAGGGAGACTGTTTTTCTAACTACTAAGAAAAAAAAGCCTGCTTTCTGAACACTAACATAGAACAGAAATCCACCCTGCAGGGCGCTAACTGGAGTACAGTCACTCAGTGTTGAAAAGTGGAAGAGAGCAGAATGAGTCCTTATATTTACCATCACACTTTACAGGCAGCCCCTCCATAAGAACCTGCCCCTGTTCCTCATTTTAAGTAGAAGCATTTAACTTAAAATGAAACTGGAATATTTACTGTGTGCTTTTACTGTAACAGGGATTGTTTTGGTCCATGTCCAAGCACATGCTTTATTTGCTGTAAAATATATACAGGCAGATTCAGAATATTGTTAGGGCCCCGTTCAATGGCTTGATTCTCACTGGCAGAGAAAAGACTTGAAGGTGTTGTAGAGAGGTTGTAGTGCCCCTGGGAATATGAGGCAATTTGTGCCATTCCCAGATAGGGTCTTAGCTGCAGTAATCATTCATTTTAAAGTGAAGATCTTTAATTTCATCTCAATTGATGGTAAACTATGTAAATATAATATAATGTCTTTTACAAGTTAGATAACTGGAATCCTTTAGTTCCTAATCTCCTGATGTTGCTGAATTCTCATGCTTGCATACATCTAAATGTGATATGCAGCTATAGGCGAACAGTGTTTGATAGTATCCTACAAATTGATCAAGTTTCAGGAAAGCTCAGTAATTCAGATGAGATGGAGTAAAGAGAATATGCATATAAATATCGATAAGTAGGAAAAGAAGGATCTGTCTTCAGATGTCTTTTTCTCTATGTCATGGTATCCTTTTGGGAGTATTGGGTAGGAAATAACTTCTCTAGGTCAAGAGTATATTGTCTCCCAGAATTTTGACAATCATGAAGTGCAGCAAACAATAACTGAAGCAAAATCCCGTTGTATCCTGATCACGCTGTGGGTGCCACCCATGCATTGTTTGCTGTGATATCCGCTCAGATATATCTACTGCAAATAGGTTCACCTTGGGCTGCCCCTGTTGTTCAGATGTCCTGAAAATGTTGTTATGAAGTGCTGGGAAGACAACTCTAGTTGCGCATCTTTGCAAGTCGGCCAGTTTTTTTAAATTGTAATATTCTTTTCTCTGTCAGAGATAATGCAGACCTATAACTTTTCACTCTTTTTCTGGGGTTTCTATCCCCACCATAGAATGGTTTTGGAGTTGTTGTTTTTTTTAAAAACTGGAGAACAACCCATCTCCGAATGCTAAAGAAAGCAGGACTAGTAAAACAGAGAGAAAAGGCAGCTTACAGTTCAAGAACGTTCAGCTCTGGATGTGTAAATAGACATTAATTAAATTGCTTAGGTTCTGCTAAAAGGTATGCTTGGGGACCTGTCTGAACTGAATTTAGGTTAAAGCTAAGTCTTGCTCTCTGCTGATCTGTGTGCACAAGGAGGAGGGAATAAGAAACAACCAGAAATAGATTAAAACAACTGAGAATAGTGTTCATAGCAATAAGGAAACTGCAGGATATCAAATGATTAGCAGTAACAACAATATTTGGCACTCAGATGGCAAGATGATACAAATTAATTTAGTTTCTCCCAATGTCTTTATATAAGCCTTGCTTTTCAAAGGAATATCTTTTAGAATATACACAAGTTCAGTTACCATCACTTTTTATTCAGAGATCATCTGAGGTCATTTTTTGTGTAAATTTTCCTCAGTTCAGGATTACATGCAAGAAGCTATGATCATCTCGGGCCAGGTTCTGATCTAGTTTACACCAATGTAGACTTGATGTCATGCCACTGAGATTGAGGGCCATGACAGGCTGGTATAATTAAGGAGAGAAAGGGCTCTTTGAGTCATTGTGAGGGAGGGGCAGCAGTGGGTAGAGGAGGGCTTCTTGCTTCTACATTCCCCGCTCCACCTGCCTGAATTTGTTGGCCTCCAGATTGTGTGGCAAAAACCATCTATGTGATAGAGTCTCTATAGAGAGAGTTGAGAGTGATGTGTGGGATGGGGGTTAGCTCCTCTGCTTCTTAGCCAGCCTTTTTTCTGTTGTTGCCTTGAATTGCTACGGGATAGTTATAGTGAATGTAAATGTTAACGATTGTTAGCATGTAGAGCTTGTATAAAGGCTTCGTTTTAGAAGTGTTTAAATGGAACTGATAATAGAGCGTGATAACATTAGCAAACCCTTTTCTTTGGCGAGAGTACAAGTGAATGTTCTCTGTGGCAAGCTGAACTTTTCCTTTTACAACAGAACTCTTCTAATGTTTGATAAATCTTATGCTTTTTTTATTTCTCTCCAGATTAAGACCCTTGATTTCTTCACAGCTAGCTAAGAAGGCTGCAACTGAAGAGGTACGTGATGTTTACTTCCTCCCTCAAGAGCCCTTCTACACCACTACAGGCTGAAAACAGGTTTAGCTCTCTATAAAGCACCTAAAGCTTGATCTTGCAAATTCTTACAAACCTCACTGGACTTGGCACTTATTTGTAAGAATCAGAAAAGTTGGACTGAACGGGCCCTCTGAAGATCATGTAGTCCAACCCCCCTGCTCACCGTCTCTGCAGGGAGGCAGGAGCATCCCTGTCTAAACCATCCCAGCCAAGTATTCACTATGTACACATAAATTTAGAAAAACTAGATGGGATTCTGTTCCATTGAGGAAGCTGGTAGCGTTGCAAAGGTGATGCCTTGCATTTTCCAGGTGAGGTTTGCTTTTACAAAAATAAGGCTCCTCTGGGGAAGCCTGATCAAAATATAGAGCATGCGTGCACATTCATCAGTAATTGAGAACATGCTCATGTTTAAGGTGTGCCAGAAGGATTCCAGCTGCAGGGAGGAAATTGAACCTGCAAGTGAGTAACAACAAACTAGTGAAGTGGGTGAGCAGCAGCAGAGTTTGTGTCCGCATATTAGTCAGCACAGAGATGGGAGTAATGCCATTCTGCTCTCCCAGCACCTGGGGCGAGAGGCATGATGACGACTTTCCCTAAATAACAAAAGTTGATAATTATATAGTTTTTTTGAGACTATATTAATACAGAGGAGGAGACAGTGATAGGATCCTAGTAATGACCTCCCTTTGGTACTTTGTCCTGGAAGGGCAGTTTCAGTTAGAGCAGGCATAGGATTTGTGTCCAGGCCATGGGAAGGCTTAGGCAGTTCCAAAGAGCCATCCAAGTTCATAGGATTTAGGTTCCTCAGTGCGCTGTATGGAGAATGAGGACAGGCAGGCACCTCCAAAGGGGGATTCAAAAAGCCTGGAAGCAGTCAGCAGGAACTCCTAAGCATCATCAAGTTGTGTCTGACCTCTCCATCCTTTCATGAACTTAGTCGTCAGACTTGCATTACTCGTTGGGCATCTCTGTTCACTTGCAATTCAGAACTCCTAGTCCTGGTTCTGAGGACAGATGCTTAACATGTTAACATGCCCTATTGCCTAGTGGTTAGAACTTTTCTCAGTCAGTGGGTCCCTGCTAACAGGGAATGCATAAAGAATCTCAGGAAGTAGGAACCACAACCCAGGACTCCCTAGTGCATCAACTTTCACAGGAGGAGGGGAGAGTGCCTCAACCTAGACAGACTAAGAGTGGTTAGCCACTCTTCCAGGACAATGGGGGATGAGGCTTTGAATCTTCCCAGGGTCAATGGGCTAGGACCCAGGTCTCCTACTTCCTGGGCATGTGTTCTAACCAGTAGACTATGGGGCAGAAGGTGGCCATTGCCACCACCACTGTTATTTTGGGAGCTAAATTCAATGCTATTATTGTGAGTTAGGTATGCTCAGACTACACTTACAAATCAGGTCTCCCTGGGGACTGAGGCAGAGTTTTGACACCTCCTAGCACCAATCTGAATCCAAGCAGAGCCTACACAGCTTGTGCACCAAATGAAAGGTTTCTGAGCATGCCCAGACGCCCTTCTGTAGACACATGGGGAATTCTGTGGTCCAAAATGGAGATGCCAAGTATATTTTGTGGCTGCTGGTAAAGAGCCAATTTGAATTCACCTTTCAGACTTAGAGGGTTAAATTCTCCTTATGTCTAGGGTGACCATATGTCCCATCTTGGCTGGGACAGTCCTGGATTTCATGGGCCGGTTGGTGAAAATTAAAGCAAAAGTCCTGGACTCACAAGGGAGTGGGGTGCAGTCTGGTAGGGTGATGGAGTGGCATGGTATGCCAGGCAGGCGGACGGGCAGGCACTGCTGCTACTGTGAGGGAGCAAGGTGGGTGGACTGGAGCGGTGCCCAGCCCAGCCCTCCCCCTGCTTCCAGTCACTGCTCAGGAGGAACCCGGCTGGGGCACGTGCGGGGAGAGTGGTGCCTGCCCGTCCGTCCATCTCCCTAGCACATCATGCCACTCTGCCTGTTCACCAGACGGCGCTCTGCTCCCTGGCCTGCCTGCCTCTGCCGCCCTCTCTGCCTGCAGCAGCTCTGCTGGCTTGCGGGGAGAAAGGGCAGCGCCCTGGATTTCCTTAAAAATAGGATGGTCACCCTACTTGTATCCCACTCGTATCAAACAAACTTGAAGCCGGCTGTCATTTATGTTTTGTAACACTGGATAATGTGTATGTGCGTGTTTGTGTACACACAAACGCATATAACCTAAACTGAAATTGCTGTCTATTCACATAATAAGCTGTTATATAACAATGTAAAATGTTGATAATTTTCCAAACGGGTCTGCTGTTCATATTTTTTTTTAATGAATGTATGAACTCTGACAGTTTTGTAAAAGTACTAGTTAAACTTTGATTGGTAGTTTACCATGTTTCTACAACCATTCAGGCTCACGTTTTATATATATATAGGGAAAGTTTAAAGGTCAAACTGGAGTTCAGGTTGTCTGGAAATGGATCCAGGAAGTTCTGTTTAAAGGAACTGTTTGACAGCCTTATTTTAAAATGATTAAAAAAACATTGATTTTCAGAAACAGTTTGATATCCTGCCTGGGGAAATACATTTTCACTTTTTATGCTGTGCTCATTAGAAAAACCTGCACATTTTTAGAACTGTAACAGCCTGGAAATGGACATGATAATTAGAAGAAGGTCATATTTTAATTAGCATGGTGCAATTTTAAAAATAATGAATCAGTTGTAGCTCTTTTATATTCACCCATTCTTAAGTGAAAATTTTCTGAGCAGATGGAAATTTCTAGCATAAAAATTGAATGAATTAAGATGTTGTTTCTCCTAAATCTGATGTCTCTATTTCTGCTCATGTCTAAAACCCCATGAGTTGTCAGTTTAATCATTCTGGATGGCAAAAGTGGTGATAAGTGATAGAAAATAAACGGAAAGGAAAGAAACTCATTTTACATGATAATGAGATTAATTTCTTACATACAGACAGGTTTTCAAAGTTTTCTGAGGTGGCTACCCAGTTGCCATTAAAATTAATGGGCACTCAGTGTCCTCTTACTGAGTGATGGAAGCAATCCCCTTGGTGACTTTGAAAATTGCAGGCAGAAACTTTGCGTTATGTAGGTTGATCATCTTGATTTTCTGAGTAGTTCAGGAATTTGATGTCAGAGTAATGAGAATATGGAGAGGATATCCCCTGTCTTTGTTTGTATACAGTGCCTAAAACCTCAGAGCTCTGCTATTTAGGGACACTTCAGGGATTCCTGTAGTATGCATAACAGTAATTGTTACCAAATTTGGTACTAATTCCAACCATTAGCTACAAGAAGTTGCAAAAAGCTTTTTTAATTCCTAATAGCTAAGCTGCCTGAGTCCCCCTTATGCTGAGGGAGCAGCAGAAAAGGCTTTCCTGGTCTGTCGTCCTTAGCCCATTTGTTATTAGGTACATTTCTATCTTATCTTCTCTTATATGCCTCTTTTCTAAAGTAAACAGGTTCAGCCTTTTCAGTCTCTGCTGATGTGAGTATTGCTGACCCTCATTTCTGATAATGGGTGACTAGTGGGAAGTGATGATATTCACATTCTCTGCTCTGGGTTTGCTCACCTGAAAAGCAGCCTTAGAGAAATCGCTGTATGTCCCTGTTTTCAAGCGCCTCCCCCCGCCCGCCCGCTCTTTTGAAAGAAGTTGATAATAATGGACTGGCTTCGCTAGGATACTACAACCAGATGCTCCAGGTGGAGGTTTTCCATTCTGTGAAGGGAAGACTCCCTGGCTGTGCCGCTGACAGGGACAATTTTTGCAGTCCCCATCTCCCTGTGAAAGGCAGAAAAGGGGATGGGAAGGCTAACGGAGAGTCTGAGCTTCACCGTGCCCAATCCTCCCCAGTGAAAGGGAACTCGGCAGCTGAATGCAGATTAAAACCCCTCTACTGTGGCTTAAGCTGGAGTCATGAAGTTCTGAATCAAGGAGTTCATTTCCTGCAGTCATTGCTTTCCACTACTTTTACTTAAAAGAAGTGGGGAGGTAGTGGCATTGAATTCATAAAAGCTGGAACAAGAATAGTTCTTTCTCTGAAAAAACTATAAACTGAAGAGCTATAAATGCAGCCTGGGCTGTGTGTTTGCTTGCTCTTTCTACTGTCCCCAAGGTCTCTGGGATTTGCAGTCCATAATCAGGACCTTGACTCTCAAGGTTTCTTGTCACTTCCCCTTCGTGCTTCCAGGTGCCTTGGGGATTTGTAGTCCACAGTCACAGTCAGCACTAAGTTTGGGCAGGGCAGGGCAGGGCAGGGCAGGGCAGCTCTGGACTTAGGGGAAGGTGAGTTTAACCCTCCTCCCTGGCCCAAGACTCCAGCCAGGGTTTGCTTGGAGGAGGTGGGGGGTGGGGAGGGGAGGGAGG